TTGTAGCTTAATTATAATATCAAATTATAAGTAAGTATTAAATGTCTAGTAAAATAACAAAAGCATAAGCATAAATTGTCTAGCACATGAAGCTTTAACTATTCAATAGATGGAATGATGTGATTAATTCAATTTGTTGAGAACACCAACTTGTTACATCCTCAGTTCTTTTACCTGCTTAAAAATATCCGTATGGCCTTGTCTGGGATTAACTGCTCTTTGAAGCATATCATGAGGGAAGGAAATGCTTGTGCTGATTGGTTAGCAAAATTTGGTGGTAATTTGAATACTGAGGTGGAATATGAGAAAGATAGTTTGCCTCAGCATTTAAAGGGTTTGGTGAATCTGGATAAACTCGGTATTCCTTATATCAGGTTTCATTGAGGTGCATTTCCTATTACTCTGCTTTGTTCTTATTATGGTGCAACGCTGTTCTGGTGGATCTTTTTATGGGCATTTGTTGTTGCTCGGATTTGCAGGTTTCGGGTGTGGGATGTTTTTGAAAAGTTTTTGGCTGTCTTTTTGCACTTAATTAGTATTTTTTGGGTTACTTCTATGCTGTGGATGCTGCAGTTTGGTCCCTTTCTCTACATGAATTGTCTGAATGGATATATTAACTGGACTGAAATTGTTACTTTGGTTACTAAGTTTCTCAGGTTTATCTCGTGGGAAATTGTTTAGGATTTGGTTGTAGGAGTTGTTTTTCTGGGTTTCTCTCGAGGAGGTTGTTGGTATATTGTATCCTTTCTCGAAAGTTTTTTGCAGGATTTCTTCTCACTATACTAGATCCAAGGTAAGTTCTTTTCCTTCTATTTTGTAAGATTATATGCTGTCTTTCTTTGCTTTTATTTTTTACAGGAAGTTTGTGCTGAACTACTTGAGCTTCCTTTTTTGGGTGCGGTATACTCTCAGCCCTAGTTCTAATTTAGATATATTTTGTATTTTTAGAAAAAGGTACCACTGGTTCGTAGGTTTTGTTTTTTTTTATATTGTAGCTCGTTCGAGCATTAGTGACTGGAGGTTTCTTCTAAAGACCTTGTAACCGCTTTTTTGGAAATTAACTCGTAGGCCCCTTCGTGGGTTTAAATTAAAAAAAATGGAATGATGTGATTAGCTTCTTCAGTGGTTTGTCTTTGAACTTCTATATCATCTTCAATAAATATCATAGCTTCCAATTCAAGCTCATCAAGTAAAAGATTAGTAATTTCTAATATTCTCATATCATCAAGAGACGCAAATCCATCTCGGAAATGAGAGAACCTTGCTCGGAGCTGCGGAAGTAAATACGACGCATCTTTTTTTTCGGATTTCTTTTTGTTTTTCAACGGACACACGTCTATCTGACACGTATCGGTGGCGTATCAGATACACTTGTCTTTTTAAAATTAAATAGTATTTTAATTTGATACTGCTTTGGCGTATCCAACACGTATCGTTGGCGTATCAGAGACGTATCCGTGTATAGGTGTATCGAATACAGCACGCCTTCATAAATAGGTGTATCGGTGCAACATTGGTCGTGTGAGAATGTTAAGTTCCACTTGGGCTTCATGGGTCTTGATTTAGGCTTTTTTTGGGATGGCTTATTTATTGCTTCTTAAAATAACTTTTTAGTTTTTAGTAAAAAAAATTAATTTTAGTATTAGAAAACTACTTTAAGAAGCAGTAAAAAACTGTCACAAACGAAGTTTTAGTTCAATTGGAAGATAAGTTTGCTGATATTACCAATTCAAGCATTTATGAAGAAAATTTACACCTTAAAGCTTGGGAACACAATAATGGATTAGCACTTATATTTTTCCATAAATATAAAGTACTGAAGATTTCACATATACAGCTTGTGGAAGAAGGGATTAGGTATTAGATATGCTGATGAGCCTCTTGCTGCCTGCTGGTACTCTTCTGGTTGAACTCACAACCATGAATTTTAATGGGTAGAGGAGTCTGCAGGAAGAGAAGGTTTTTGATATGACTAATATTGCAGCTAAACTTAAGACCTTGAGAATGATGGTAGATGAGTACTATTTCATTGTGCGGTTTATTCTAAATTCACTTCATTTTTAATATGAATATTTTCAAATAAATTATAATATGACGAATGATAATAGAAATTTAAATGAAATTGTCAGGAATGCAGCTCATTTTAGTCTGTTGGTTGAGAGCTTTAGCTATCAGCCAAGAGTTCTTGAGTTTGAGTCTTGCGTATGTGATGTGTGTGAGTTTGCATTAATTGACTTAAATACCCCCAAAAAAGGCCTGTACATAAGGAGAAAAAAATTAAAGAAATAGAGTAGCCACTATATAAACCTTGCGCTTGCTCGCAGGTTAATTTAGGTCAAGCCACGAGCAAGCTAGGGAGGCCAGGTCGCGGCTAGGCTACACATTGACTGAGATGATCTATGGCTTCAGATCTTGATCCTCGAATGATTGTGTACTACCATGGCTGAGGCAATGCAAAGCAAGGGCTTTCTGTTTTTGTTAATGATCTGTTTAAACTATTGAGATGAAGGCTTTTCTTTGATATATACATAATAAAATTGGATCGAGGTGAAGATTGTCAGGATTTGGTCCAATTTTAGCTATTTGGTTCCTTCTATTCATCCTTTTTTTTTTTATCCTACATGTTTCTTTGTATTATAAGTAGAGATTGAGTTTTCTGTAAAGGTGGAAAAATTAAATAAAGCTTTAGTTTTGTTTTCGCCTAAAATCGATTCGTTCTCAGACTCACTCACCCTTCCCTTCCTCTCTCTCATCCATGAAGAAATCTTCTTCCTCCTAAGAATTTCTTGCCAGATATTTTTGTCGATGGCTTAGAATCTTAGATAAAATGAAAATTTATCAAACTAAGACTTTGTAGACATTGCCAGACCTGTTTATTGTATTAAGGGTAAGCAAAACAAGCATGCTAATAAAACAGTAGTCACATGGAATTCCAACTCTTAAAGATCATACACATTGATATTTGTGGGTCATTTGACACCCTTACGTTTAATGATGAAAAATATATTATCGTCTTTCATGTTATGACTGTTTATTTATGGCATGAATAATTTCAAATAGTAAATGCTATTAAAGACAACTAAAATAACTAGACCATATAAGGTATATTGAGTATTATGAAATATATATATATATATATATATATATACCCACCGCGGGGTGGCCTGGTGGTGGAGAACTGGCTGGCCAAAGGCCAGGTACCAAGTTCGAATCCCCTCGGCGCTTCGTGAAAGCCTTAAGTGTTGGCCCGTGTAAATTGGTGTGAGTTGCATGCTAGGTCGACCGGGTTATCCCCTAACCGGGATGATCTATTTTTTATAGTATTATGAAAAATATAATAAGTTCGGATAATATTAGCTCCTGTTTACCCAATTCTTAAAAAAATTAAATCATTAGTGCAAATTGTATTAAGTTTGGAGCACTCTAACAAAATGATAATGTAGAAATGTAATATAGAATATAATGGATATGATAAGATAAATGATAATGAGTAAATGTCCATAATTTTTTGTGGAGCTATGTATTAAAATATCTAAGCACTTTTTAAATAATGTTCCTAATTAAAGACTCATTTTGAACTATGAACATGAAGAAAATCTAGTTGAAGACATCCCATATTCAAGGATGTCTAAGGGAAGCAACAAAATACAATTTATATGCAAAGAAATTTATCCTAAGGCAATTACAGGTTGCTTCATTGCTTATCCAAACAAGTGAAAAAGGTTTGTGTTTTATTGTCCAAATCATAGTCAAAGCAAGCATAAGAGAAACTGCTAATGCCAATTTTTTTAGAGAATTTTGTGATTAGTGGGGGTGTTTTGGAAAACATGTTATGAATAGAAAAGAATTTAGGATGAATACACCCATAAATTTTGCTTATACTTCCATAGAAAATAGAATTACTATTTCAATTATCGATAGAAGTTACAATATCAACAAAAATTGAATGAAGAAACACCTCATAATGAAACTAATCCATAAATAATCCTAGCTATATCGTATAAATAGAAATATTTCATAATAGATCAATAGGGATATTAAGTTGATCATAGACGGCTTATGCTTGTAAGAAACCAAGGATTATATGAACTCACTTATAGAAGGCCTAATTAGTAATTGGTTATTCAGATTCAAAATTTATTGTATTAATTCCATAAGAACAGCAGAAAAGCCACTATTAAGCTTACTATTGCTTATGTATTCTGTAGAAAAACGTGAGAAACAAAGAGTGATATGTTAATTTAATGAAAAAATTTAAAGAATATTTCCATTCAGATTTTGAAACTTTATTGAAATATTTAGAAAGATTATAGTTTATTTTTCATATTTTAATCATTAATAGTCTGGAAGAGTATCAGAAGATGGCTACAAAATCAAGAGACAAAGCCGTACCCATCATCTTATCACCACCAGAAGGCTTTAATTGTTCGCAAGAACTATTCTTCTCATGAACTGTTGCAAAGTACTACAGTTCTCCTTCCAAGAAAAAAAGTACTACAGTTGCTGCTTCATGAACTCATCCTCTTTCCCAACTCCAGCGATTATTTATATTCACTTAATAAAACTAAGTTGGTAAACTTAATTATTTAATGCGCAAGATAAAAATCAACTAAGATCATCTACAGAAGAAATTAATTATCAGAAAAAGTATCACAAAGAGAAAACATTCACATAACGCCAGATCTGGCTAGCTTCTAATTTATTTCTTCTAATTAAATTAAGAAGTTTTCAGAGGGATCTATCTGCAGTTTCTATGCCAGGATCTGAAGATTTATAAGATGAATTTTGAACAGTGTAATATTACTAAACAAAGTTTAAGTAAAAGCTCATTTCATTTCATATATTTTTTCTTCCAAACACTGAACAACTTGAATACAACATACTAATTATCAATACTCATACTATATATTATTGAAAATATCACTACTAACTCCCATGCATGAAATCTACATATATACAAATCATTATACCCTAATGGTTAAAAGAAATAAAAAAATATATAAGAAAATATATTTTTCATCATTTAGAAACTATAGAGTAACATACACAAATATAAAAAATTATGTGTTCATGTGAATTTAATGATATACATGTAAATCCTCTCGATTAGAATATAGCAAAACCAGAAACTACTGAGCTCATACCACCAAACAATCTGTCTCACTCCATGTCAAAGAGCAAAGACAGTGGGAGAAGGCCAGCGAAGTATTCCTCCGTTCCTGCAATTCTCTCAGGCATCAGCTTGAAGGAGTTATTATCCCCCTCGCCGAGCTCCGGAGGCAGCTGGCGTGCGGGTATCAAGGCATCGCAGGGCTCCAGTACCGGATGGTCGATGAGAGGCTGGCGGGCGAGGATGTCGGCGATATCTGAGTCCCGGCCGGTGAGCTCCTGGACGACGCCGCGGAAACCGTCGGCGCTGGTGGTGACTCTAATGGGGTTGGAGATGTAAACCACTTTTAGTGGCTTCTGCTTCTTGCTGGGTTTGGCGTCTGATTTCTTTGGGAATCTGTTGTGGTGAGTGTTTGGCTTCTGATCCATTTCGATGGGGAGATCGAGCTGAGGGCCTGAGGCTAATTACTTTGAGGAGAAGTAGAGGAGGAGATAAAAAGGGGGAGATGAGATGGTACTGTTATATATATGACTTAATGACTATATGAGATATGGTGTAGACTTTGTTTTTTCTTTCTTTTTGGTTTGGTAAAAAGCTAACGATTGGAAAGGAGGTTTGTGGACGAGAGAAGAAGATGAAAAAAGGGATTCATATTGTGTAGCTATCATGCTTTCATTGGTGAAGTACCGTACATATATGACAACCTAAAAACTTCACCTTTTTCAGAATAAAATTGAGGAATTCAAATATTTTTGTCTCAAATTTTTTTGTTGCTTTTTAAAACATCTTTTTAGTAAAAAATAAAATTTTTATACTAGAAAGTTGATTTAAGAAGTAACAAAAAAATTGTCCAAAACGAAGTCATAGTGAGAGAACTACCTCAACAGGTAAATAAGTTAATTTGAGTTTGCAGCATCATGCAGTGCGGCCAATCTAACTATAATTTTGAATAAGATGATCTTAAAAAAATTTAGATTTGTTTTTGAGATATGATAGATTGACAGAAAATTTGTGATGATAGATATAGAATGTTAACATCTTAGCTTTTAAGAAGATCCAATACACGTACACATGAGAAAACGAAAGTAGGAGACACCAAGATTTTTATAGAAAATTTCATAAAGGAAAAAAAATCATGTGGAATGACCCGAATGAAATGATCCAATGTGCAAAGATGTTGCGAGAGTTTGTTCTTTCTCTCAATTGGAGAAGTCGTTATTACAAAATATGTACTACGAGTTTATATCACTATAAACATATGGGAGAATGTTGGGGATGCATCTATTGGATGATGTTAGTTAGGTGATAATGATGTGCTAGATGAAGACAATCAAATGATGTTGAATGGATTATAATAATCGGGTGATTGTGGTCAGAAGATAAAAGTTGAAAGATGACTGTTAGATGATGGCAGTTGAGTGATGACGACAAAAAAATTGTAGTTTGGCGATGGTGATGACAATGATCGTTGTCATTGAACATTAAGTAAAGTTATAAAGTTCTTCAGATCTCTCCAAACTCAAATCTAAGTCCTTTTTATATGAAAATTGGGGGTTTGTTTTTAGTTTTTTTTAGATCAGACGATTTTAGCAAACATAACCAAAATTTTGAATCACTTCATTAGATGCATTATATCAAATCTTTTGATCATAGATCAATTATTTAGCATTTTAATACTTTAATAACCTCATAATTGGATGATCTTAGGTTTATGAAAAGATAGGTTGCACACTAAGAATTTTCCTTCATTTAAAATTCTTATGAAAATGATATAATTTCTAAGTATATATAATATATCCTACATCTTTTATATAAATATTTTATATTAGATTTACTTCAAATTAAATATAAAAAAAAATAAAATTCTTAATTTTTTCTTATAATTTTACTTACAATCAAACATCCCCAGGCATTGAGGCCCATCAACCACTGCCTAGTCGGCTATTCCTTAGAGTAAACGAATATTTCTTCTATCCTACGAAAGAAAAATTATTAGGTGTGAAGTGCGCGCCGTCCGCATAAGCACTAAGTATCTATGAAGACCGATTTGGATGGCGATGGTCCAGTGGGATGAGGACATGTTGACGTCAGTATGTGACTCACCATGACGCTAGACTGTTGTGTGCAAGGTGGGCCCGCTTTTGTCTCACTCAATAAAAGTCGAGGAGGAGCTTCACGTGAGTCCCGTGCTCTGATTTGTCGACGGCTCGACGCTATTGGAGGCCTGATCTAATTATTGGGCGGGATTTCCAAAAAGAAAATTATTGGGCGGGCTGTCTCTGGCCTTAGAAATAAAATAATGATTTTTTTGTCTTATTATTATAATTTATAATTTTAGTACGAATACTTTTTAAATATAAGATAATTATGCTAAATAGTATTAATACTTAATATTACATTGTAAAAATAGATTAAAAGTTTCGTACCATTTAATATTAATTTTTTAAAAATTATTAAAAGTGAATGTCCAAAAAAAATTATGTTATCAAATTATAAATGCCATAAAATTTATTTGAACTTTGGCTAATCTATACCACGCCATAAAATCTTAATTTTTTATAGTGAAATCATAACTTAGATTGCTCGTGCTTGAATATTTGTGATTCTAATGAAGCTTTATCATCTTAATGTTGTAAGAAGATAAATTAAGAGTATATTACAAGAAATGAAGGATCTGCTTTGTGAGGAAGGAGCTTTTACTCTTGAAATTCTTGAGAGAGAGAGAGAATGAGTGAGATAGCTGAAATCGGAATTATAATTTTATATATTTTGATGACTTAATATGTTACCTTATTACAAGATATTGGTGTCTATATATAGACACAAATGGTAACTAACCAATTTATCATAAAATGCTACAAAGAAAACTAACTAAAGAAAGTACAATATAGTAAATCTTGGACTAATCACAACAAACTCGATCCACCTTGGTCCTAGATTTACAAAACATCTATGTTTTCATATGCTGCCTTAACTATGTTGGTGTCGTCCTTGGGCCTAACTTTCTTTTGCTTTAGCAAATTCAAACAATTTGTTTTGAATTGCCCTTATGGCGCGCAATGTAAGCATCTCTTGTTGGACTCACATCTTCCCCTTTATTTCAGAATGTTGTCAACGTTTTCATCTTTGTCCTCATTTCTACACTGTAATTGTTTGGATACAAAGACTAGCTTCACCTCGATCATGGTCAACATTAGCTTTCCATATAGTAATGTGTCCACTAAATTTTTTTATGATTTCAACAAAGAACTTACGAGGATAATACCTTGATCTTCTTCCTCAATCCTTACATCTACATTCTTAAGATCAAGAATGAGTTTGTTAATTTTATTAATTTATTGTTTTCAAATCTTTACCTTATCCATATGCAATGTGTATAGAGCTTTCTTTAGATATAGCTGGATGGCCAATGATCTTTTCAGGTACAGAGACTCTAGTTTCTCACAGACTTCTATGCATAACCTGATCTTCAGCTACTTCTCTTAGAACTTCATCACTTAGCGATAACATGATTGCACTGTGAGCCTTTAGCTGTGTTTTCCTTGTCCTTGCCTTATCAGTTATGGCAGCAAAATGTTCCCTTAAAATTACCTTAGAAGTTCCTTGATGAACGAGGAGGGCCTTCATTTTGTTCTCCATAATCCAAAGTCATTTTCACTGGTAAATTTGTTAATTTCAAAATTTTGCATCAAAATGGTCAAGAACTCTGTTCACCATTCGAATATGATTGCAAGAACTTCACCTGAGCCCCAGACTGCAGCCTTGCACTTACTTGTACTTCCATGGTCTTCCCTACACATTCTTGCTTATGCCCGCTAAGCTCCACCTCTTTATAGTATGTCCACGCCGCACTGCGTTCCACACAATTAACACCATGCACCCTATGCACCCAACTCACACTCTATGTGATCTCAACTTGTGTAATCGCAAACACACGAGCCATTCTCCATGTTCTGCCCGTTTGCTCTGCCCCACGAGCTTTGACCCTGACCGCAACCATCGATCTGCCTGAGTACGCCTCCATCGCGCACGTCTCTACTTGTGCACGTCCCCTCCCTCACATGCTTTGAGCTTTGTCGCACGCCTCGCTCTTTCATGCTTGCGCCTCACGCAGTCCTGCCGCACTCCCTAATGCGCATCTGTGCTCTGCCTTTGGCCTGCATGTGAGCCCATCTCCACTTGCTCTAGATGTCTACTGATTCTTTTCTATTATGCACCTTTTATTGATGGTACTATTTATGGAAGTTATTTTATATAGGATAGGTCCTTTCTTTTTTTTTTTCAAGTTTTATGACAACATGAGAATGTGACATTTGCTCGCTCAATTTAGCTCATATAATTATTTGTGAGATAACATTTAATTGTAAGATGATTAATATTTCTCTTTGCTAACTTGACTTCTATCATACAATAGATCTTAAATGCGACACTGCATGGTTTTTTACCCTTTAATTAAACGATTATACAACAAAAATGCTCTCAATCAATATGCATTTCGATCTAGCATGGATCTCAAATTTTATATGACTCTTCCATTTCTCAAATGCGTCATGAAAGTACTAAAGTTCATTTGTGCACCTAGCTATAAATACCCTAAGTGAGCAAAGTAAATGACTTTATTCTCTTTCATTTCCAAAAGGAAACAACATTAAAGTTATTTTAAACTCGGCTATGATGTGCTCATGGAGCAACTAGGAAGTGGCCCACCATTTGCTAGTTGTTGATAGGATGCCCCATCTAACCTCCCAAAAATTTTTCAACCATTAGGAGTAATCCAATAGCTTAAGTTCACATTGATATGCCCTCATTATTATAACATTTATTTTGTAATGTATAATACAAGTATGCATGTACTTATGAAAAAGAAATATGTTTTTATATTATATACTTAAATTGTAAAAAATTAACAAATACATGTGTAAATAAAGATATATATATATATATATATATATATATATTTGTGAATATTAATTTGAGTTAATTATGTTCAAGCGTACTTCAAATAAAAGTAATAACTCTAGTTAAATTTTCTTGCACTATTGAACCTCATATAATCAACCTTTTAATAAAACATTCATCTTTAAATACTCCTAAAATTCAAGAGATAACAAACCTTCATATAATAACTTTTTTTTTTTTTTTCCTTAAGTTTGATGCATCACGACAAGCACTTATGAATTCATGACTATGATTCCTTTTGTCAAAATTAATTTAATATTACAAATATTATCTTTAGTAGCCTCCATTTATCAAAGGATTAGCCCAAGTTAGATAGGTCCGGACATTGGACACATTGCTAGCACTTACTCGTTTAAATTTTTGTTATTGAAGGATTTTAATTAATTATATCCATCAACAAATGAACAAAGATCATATACATTTCATATGAAGATCAAAATAATAAAATATTAGAATATTGAAATATAGAAAAAATACTCTTAACTACTTAATAAATTTTTATGTGATTTTATTCATTATAGAAATGGTCACTGCAATGATA